TATCCTTGTATCCATGATTACATGACGAAAATAAAGTTGATGAGTATATTTTTCTCCGACGCCAAAAGAAGTTTTTTTTTTTTTTTTCATATTGTATGGTGTATATTATCGATAACAGTGATTAATTTCACTCGCTGATGATAGGCACCTCATGGATGGGAGAGCAAGCCAAAAAGATTTAAGATTGGTCCATATCCATGGCGAGATTCGAATTCTCGAACTATGTTTAGAGGCGTGACTTACCACTCCACTATAACCCATTTGGTTTGACGCCAAAAGAAGATTGAATGAATGAAATCGTGAAGATAAATATACAATAATAAAAAAGAGCAAGTGTGAAGGTCATTGACTAATGCATACATTGAAAGGCTGCGCTGTACTTTATACACTTGTTTTTGTGTACTCACAAATCTAAAGAGTGTTGACTGATGACTGATGACTATTCTATGAGAACGACAAGTTGTCATATAATATCTCTGGTGCATGTACCTCTTCCTCCGTCATCGTTAAATATCTGAATGATATTATTTTATCTTATGATTTGCTTCTCAATTCTTAACCACTTGGACTCTTCGTTGCTGTCTTAATTTGAATTTTAATATATCATGGATAAAGAAATCTTATGAATCAAGAAGCTGTGGACCTACTCTCCATGAAATAAAACCTAGGATGGATCATGGTTCATTTCGCATGTCCCTCTCACGAATTTAAGTATGTCCTCTTCTAATAATTTATAATGTAAATTATTTATGGAATATAAGGAGAGTACAAAACAATTGCATGCAGATGCAGTTGTATCTTTGGCGCCGACAAACTTTAGCATTGTCACATCAAAAGTTTCATTCTACATTAAGTTTTGTTTAAATAGTCTTCTGGTCTTTATAGAAAGAATATTCAAGGAAGAATAGTCTGCCCCCAATTTGTTGTTTTCCTAGCATCGTAAACCCTAGAATAATAATAGTAAGGTACATTTTTTTTTTGACAAGAACCAACTTACAAGTGCCTAAACTATTACATGAATGGGGTCTATGGGGAAGGAGATAGTACTACTACGAGGGAGACTCTATGCATGCATTTCTAGTCCACTTATCCGCCCTTGAAAACGTCTCATTTGGTTGTTACTGCCTCTTACTCTGTAGAAAAGTATGGCAAGCGATACATCGTTGTCATGAGGGCCCGTGTCACCGCGGAAAAATGCCAGAACCCTTACCACTTGGGCCAACCCTCATTGGCAGTAAAGTACATTAGTTCCATTGAATTTGAAAGAGGGAAAATTAAATAGTGGCTAATGAGTAATGAATGCAAATGCACTCAATTTCCTACACCCTTTCGTTCAAAGTTGAAATTTCTTTCTTATCACTTTCTAGGGTCGTAAAAGAAACTCAAATTTAATTATTTCCCTTTTCCTGCGATAATGGGAAGACAAAAAAAAGTAGTATGATCTTTGCTTCAGGATATACTCTCCCAGTTTTTATTATATAACATTTAAAAAAAAAATTCTATTAGTTCTATTTATAAGAAATCTGGTTTAGTGGTTAATTTATGTTTCTTTAGCTCACTAAAATTTATAAATGCATTAACGAATTTATAGATATCGAATATTATTTTGCTAGGAAATGTGATAACATTTTTAATAAAGATAATGTATAGATAATTCACCAATAAATAACTAACTTCACTATTTCATTCAATAATCTTGTTAAAAAATTTATTTATGTCTTGTAATAAAACTGAGAGAGTAAAACAAAAAACAAATTGAATAGCAGAAGGATGAAAGTCATCCAAGGCGGCTAGGGTTTTTCCTTCTTTTTTTTTCGGTTTTTGTTTGGCTGGTGCTGCATTATAGTCAAGAAGAAAATATTGAGCATGTTGGAACGTGCATTGTGGAATTACTGGGCCTTTAGCTCACCGGATCGCTACGACACGACTTCATAGTTCAGTTTGGTCGGACCGGCAGACAAGTGTGGAAACGTTTATTGATGACAGATTCTAGTCACAAAAAAAAAAAAAAAAAAAGTTTATAAGCTACCTTGCTAGTACTATTTGACAACTAGCGAACTAAAATAATACTTCTCGATTTTTATTATAAATTATTTTAATTTGCCTTGATTTCTATTTATTGTGTTCTTGTAATTGAAAATAAAATTTTAAAAATATATTTCATTTTTATTTTGTTTTCCCAATTATTATAAATCCTTCTTAAAATTTTATTTTCAATTGTAAAAATACGAATTGAAAATTATGAGAAATCAACATGCGTTATAAAATAAAAATAGGAGAGAGTATTTTCGTGAGTCTCATTTTTAATGGTCACTTCGATGAAGCCGTTTTGGTATAACTAAATTGACTATTGAGCAATTTATTGGGCAGATTATGAATATGTGCTTCTTCCTAATTCAAGGTCCTTTATCAGTTTCCGTCTTCATTGTCGTTAGTCGTTTGTTTAGCATCGTTAATCGCAAATACTCCAATACAAACATTTTTCTCTTTCAAGAAAGAATTACAATATTGGCATGCGTCAGCTGTATCTCTAAGAAGTTTTAAGATCATAACTATCATGGCTGATTTGTATCGACGGAACTAAATTAATTAAAGGTCGAAAAAGAAATATGGTCTAAAAATAATACTCCCTCCGTCCCAAAATTATTGTCCAATTTAGATTTTCATTTTTGGTTCAAATTGTACTAAAAGTGAAATCTCAAACTGGACAATAATTTTAGGACAGATGGAGTATACAATGTACGCAACTCTTTATATTTTAATAAAAAATGACCGATTGATGCTGCTGCCCAATTGTCGAATGCATATATCATGTTTTTTTTTTTTTTTTTTTGGTAGTCTTACTACTTTTTACTTCTCGTATACATCCAGTCAGTTGATTTCTGGAGCTGTCCAAATTTGAATAAAATCTAAAACTGTTTGTATTAAAGACATCCTATAATATAAATCTAGAATCTGCCACCCAATAAATCTATCCTTGATAGGAGCTACATGCATTGTATGAGATGGATCTTGGCTCAGCCCATATGTTATAATGTACGATAAAATGGGTCAATTATTTTAAATAGGAAATAATAGTTATATATTATATTTAGCTAGTCACTTTCTTTTGGTCTTTATTGGCTGATGGAACAAAGAATTCCATGGTGACTGCCGCCGTTTTATTGTTATTCTAGAGTACGCCGTACCGATAACAATATGCGTTTTGTCATTTGCGGTTCCACGTCAGGTTTTAGTTCCACTGTATTAGAAACGAAAAGACAAGGGTTAGGGTTTGGCTCTTCCTTTGTAGATTATATATCTCCATTTATCTGTCCTTTATAATAAATTTAATTTTTTTTCTTGTTTTATTTCATTTTCAATAAAAAATTAAATAAATATTTTTCAATTTTACTGTTATCTCTTTTTACTTTTGATGACATATACTACTACATTCTCTATTTATTCCACTCCAAAAATTGTCGTGAACAAGTAAATGAAGATCGTAAATTTCTTTTCATTCAAGTCTGTCACTCTGCACGTAGAGCTGCTTGTCCTCTTTATTATCGTTTGAATGCGATATTAGTGTGATGAATAATATAGTCCAAGATGTTGCTGATGTAGAAATGAAAATAGCTAGTCTTAATTGTACATAGCATTAGCATTAGCTATTTTATACTTGTACATAGATCAGGGACTTAGTTGTAAATAAGATAGACCACTCAACAGAGTTTAGTATATAAGTCCCAATTTGTACAGATTTATTACGGATGATTACACAGTTAATAGCAAATCAAGTTTATAGCTTATAAAGAGATATTATTCAAGTCATCGAAGAGTTTATACATAGTACTTCAACCTCACATCTCCAAGGCCTTTTGGTCTTCTTGACATATAATACTTCTAATTTGGCTTGCCTAGCTTACTCATCTGATGTAAGAAAAAGAAAAAAAAATTAATTTGGGACAAATGTTTTTGGTTCCTAGAAAAACCAGCTCGAGACAGTGGGGGAGAAGTAAGGAAGGTCCAAAGTTTTAGTGTAAATATTTTCTTCTTCAATATTTTGACAGGTGCCGAATAATTTCGGCTTGTGATTTCAAAATATTGTCTCCATTGGTTAGAGAAGGTTGAATTAGCTTAAATGATCAATTCCTAACCGTGTCGATATTTATTCTATCTGACATCATTCTCCAGACACAACATGGATGTTTATAATTAAGTTTGCTATATCGTCAAAGCACACTTTTGCGAAGAAATGGTAGAGATAATTTTTATCCCTTCCTCTGTAGATTATTAACATTTAGAAGTAGTATAATCTAGTTGAGGTACTTTTTTTTTAACCCTTCCTCTGTACCACTGTATCTATTGTTACACAAGATGAACAGTTTTATGAAATTTTGCAAACAATTGATTAATATTTAATTTTGTGAAAGGCACTACACCCCAAAAGAGTAATAGCTGGTCCTTCCATCCTAAGAAAAAATAATTCACAGTGAGTTTAAAATTTTCTACTAAAATTAATAGTATAAATCTCTAAACTTCGGCTCATTTTTTGGGAACAGAAATAATATTGGTCTATTACTTTCTTTTTCTAGTTTATAGGTATCAAATTATAAATATATATCGAAAATTAATGAAAAAGATTATGATTCCTTTTAATGGATGCTTCACATAATTAAGTAGTTCATTACTGGAAGTGCAACTTTTTATTCATTAAATTCAACAACATTGGTACACAAGTTAAAATGCACGTAATGCACCAAACGATTCATGCATAGACAGAGGGAACCAAGAAAAGGTTGTTCTTCTTTGCAGCGGAGAATCCATAGCCCTCTGACATGTCTAAACCAGTGCTTTCAATACCATTCGGGAGTGTCCAGTCGAAAAAGTACAATAGATTAGCCAATAGAACTTCAATATTAGCTACACCAAATGACATTCCCGGACAAACTCTCTTCCCGCCACCAAACGGTACGTACTCATAATTGGTTCCAAGAAAGTCAACAGAGTTATTCTCGAACCTCTCTGGTCGGAAACTTTCGGGGTCATCCCAGTACTTAGGGTCCCTCCCGATCGCCCAAATATTAATTACAACTCTTGTTTTGAGAGGAATTGTATATCCGTCGATTTCACATTGTTCCATGCATTCCCTGGGAGTCAAAGGAGCAGGAGGATGAAGTCTCAGAATTTCTTTGACTACCCATTTCAAGTAAGTCAAATGTTGAATATCGTTTTCTTCAATTGTTTTGGTGCCTACAGGCAAAGCTTTCCTTATTTCTCTCTGGGCTTTTGCCATTACATCTGGATTTCTCATCATCTCTGCCATTGCCCATTCCACCACTGTAGCTGAAGTTGTAGTCCCTCCAGTGAACATGTCCTGCATTAAATGAGTGTAATTATTATTCCGTTTATTGTATTATTTTGGGACGGAAAAAAAACACACTTATTAAAATATTACACAATAGAATCGATTATTTAATTCACTTTATTTTATACTCTTCCTGTTTCGAAATTATTGTCCAGTTTGGTTTTTCAATTTTACTTCAAATTGTATTAAAAATGTAAATTCAAATTGGACAATAATTCAGGGACAGATGAAATATAAAAGTTGAAAGACGAAATATAACTTACCAATACAATAGCCTTGATATTTGTGTTGGTGATCGGAAATTGGAGGTCAGCGCCGCCACCACCTCCGTTGATCCTAAGCATGACGTCCACCAAATCTTCTTCTCCGAATTCGCCATTCTTTCGAGTTGGGCTGTCAACATGCTCTTGAATTATGATATCAATAATCTCGTCCACCTTTTTTCGGAGCTTCAACAGCTTGGGCTTCATCAAGCTCAGGTGATGAATGAGTGTCCAGGATGGGAAAACATCGGAAACATCGTACCCACTCATCCGCAATATCACTTCCTTCATCAGCTCTATCAGTTGGGTCCGATGCTGATTAAATGTTCTACCAAATGCTGCTTTACAAACCACCGAGCTTGTGTACGAGGAAGCTGTGTTGAACACATTAATCCCCTGTTTTGGTCGCATCTGGGCCGATTCCCGGATCGATGAAACCAGATTCGAGATCTCGGCTTGGCGAACCGAACCGAGTGATCGGACAATTTTGGGGCTAAGAAGTTCCATACTACACAGTTTCCGAACTTGTTTCCAGTATTCACCGTAAGGGGAGAACACAATGTCGGAAGAGTCGTAGAACACAATCTTTCCGGCCAAAACACTGGGCCGGTTTGCAAAAGCATGATCATTTGTTTTCAGAATCGCTTCCGCGGCCCGAGCGGAGGATACGACGATGTTGGAGATTTCTCCGAGCTGAAGATGCATGAGATCACCATGTTTTTGGGCTAAATTTCTGAGAGCATGATGGGGAAGTGAACCCATCATGTTGTGGAAATTTCCAATGATGGGTAGTTTCATTGGACCTGGTGGCAGCTTCTTCTTGAGTCTGTTGGAAGAAGAGATGTTTTTCCATTTCTTGATGAAATTCAAACTCAAGAAAACTATAAGCACAAAAGGAGTCCAGCTCAGATCTAGATGCATCTTGCTTCCTTTATTTTTGTTTCTTCTTGTTTTTGTGTTCGTTTGTTTTTGGTAGATGGGCAATTGGCAAAAGGGTGGGATACTGGATATAAATAGTCAAAAAGGGAAGGGAGAAATCAATCATTAATCTCTACTCTCCCATGTACTACATCTACGACATGTATTATGTGTTACGTTCCAAAATGATTTTAAATGCTAAAGTCTAAAGTTGTTAACAATTCTTCCAAAATTTGTTACCTCCACAATGTTACAAAATCATGTACTCCCTCTGTCCCATAATTTACTAAAATGAAAGATTTTATTTTTGGTCAAACTTAATTATATTTTACCTTAAACAACCGGATATACCCCTACATAAATAATTGTTTAACCACTAAGATTTTATGGATAATGTTTTTTACTAAGGACAAACGTATAACTTGATCCATAAAAAATCAAATTGGATAATAATTTTGGGACAAAATTTTTTGGGCAAAGTGGACAATGATTATGAGACGGAGGAAGTATATAATAATATCAGAAGAATTACTATTTAGTCGGCTGTAAAATTAGACTTCCTGTAACTATGGCTCATAGCCCACGTGGTGTCTCTAAACTTTCATTGATGGTGTTCCGCAGACTATAATGCTAAAGTCTAACTACAATAATGCTTGACTATCTTTTCAATCATCTATGAAAATGGACTTCAACTTGTTATTTCTTGCTTCTTTTTAAAAAAGAAAGTAAGCAAGTAAGAAAGTTCAATTTGGTACGAAATAAGGTCGGTACTTGGATGCATTTTTTCTATATTAGAGTTTTCTTTTCTTTTTGTTCCATATTCATATTTTAAAAATATTTCACGATTAAAATATGTCATACTTTGTGGCAGCTTCTTGATTTATAGGATTTCTTTATCCAACAGTTTTTTTTTTTGTTAATAAAATTCAATTAAGACAGCTCCGAGAATCCAAATTGATCAAATTCGTAGTGAGAAGAAATCACAAGAAGTAAGAAAGTGATATTAGACATTTAACAATGACGGAGGGAGATGATTCCATCGGTTCTAAAATAAAAAATCACGTTTAGTTGAATTTCTTACATAAGTCCCAAAATGATTATTTTCTTTAAATTTTTTTCAATAAAATTTAATTAAAAGTGAAATATCAAATTTGGGGCGGGGCAAGTATTAATTATCTTTATTACCAAATTAGAAGAAGTCTTGAAATTATTTCCATATTTCTAAAACATTGTATGTGATTTTTCCCCTTCTTCTAAGTTCTCGCTCGACAATGTCACACAGTGACACCACAAGTCCGCAATCATGAATAACAGTTCTCTCTTTTTGTCGCAATTAAAAAAAAAGAAAAAACAAAAAATTCCGGTAAAGAATGAATAACTTGAAACAGAAATAATAACCCTTTGTAATGTTTTCATTCGAAATCTAGTATCATATGTCACCGGATAATTTAAATGTCTATCATTTGGTCTTACGTACTAACAAATTATCAGTACTTATGAACTCCGCAGTACAATTATGGATCCATGGTAGTTGTAGACTTGTAGTCTCCTCTCTCTCACAGCTCGCATATATGGATGGAATTCCATTAAAGATAAACAAGTCTCACGAGTGGTCCTAAACAGTGACACTATCACATGAGTTCATGACACTTCAAGGAATAGTCATCAGTCTACAAATTTGACAACAATTTAGTAAAAAATGATTAGTACAGCGCTCCCCTCAATAATATTATATCTGTTCAAAAAAATAGTCCACATTGAGTTTTGAAATTTGTATTAAAAATAATATAAATTTCAAAACTCAATATAGACTTTTTTTGGGACAAATAAAATAACACATTACAGATTTCCTAGAACTTCTTCAAAGTAACTACCTTTCATGCGTCACTCTAGACTGACTCTTGTTAGGGCTCAATTTCATTATTACTCCCTCTGGTCCTTAATATAAGACATTTTGATTTGTCCTAAATTTCATCTAGTATGTAATTTTAATTGACTAAAAAAGTTTAAAAATATACTTTAACATTCGTTGTGTTCTCTTAATTATTATGAAATATTTTTTAGGTTTTTTTTGTCAATTAAAAATATGTATTACGTAAAATTTAGGACAAATCAAAATGCCTTATGCTAAATACCAGAGGGAGAGTATATTTTATGAAAATCCTGAATGCATTCACTTCTTAATGTTGTATTGGTGTCATTTACGTAAGAGAGATCTCACTTTTAATCTACATTTCTTTTCTACAAATAATTAAGTTCCTTTAATACTTAACTAGTATTGTGCCCGCACGTTGTGCGGGTGATATTTGTTTTATTATAAAAATTAAATAAAAATCATTGTATAACCACCTTGGTGAATCATTGTGTAAATCATTGTATGGCCTAAAACAAGCGAGACGAATATGGTATAACCACCTTGGTGAATATCTAATAAAGGAAGGTTATTTAAATGATCCAATATACCCATGTATTTTTATCAAAAGATGTGGATATGAGTTGGTAATCATTGCAGTATTTTTATCAAAAGATGTAGATCTGAGTTTATAATCATTGCAGTTTATGTTGATGATTTAAATATGATTGGGACTCCTAAAGAGCTCACTAAAGCTGCAAACCACTTGAAGAAAGAATTTGAAATGAAAGATCTTGGAAAGACAAAATTTTGTCTTGGTTTACAAATTGAGCACACCACAAGTGGCATGTTTTTACACCATTCTACTTATACTGCTAAAGTGCTTAAACAATTTTACATGGAAAAGGCACATCCTTTGAGCACACCAATGATTGTAAGGACACTTAATAAGGATAAAGACCCTTTTAGGCCTTGTGAGGATGGTGAAGAGTTACTAGGTCCAGAAGTACCTTATTTTAGTGCTATTGGGCATTAATGAATCTTGCTAGTTATACACGGCCTAACATATCTTTTGCTGTGAATTTGTGAGCTAGATATAGTTCCTCACCTACAAGAAGGCATTGGAATGGTGTTAAACATATATTTCGCTACCTTCAAGGTACGATAGGTATGGGCCTTTATTATTCAAGAACATCTAAGCTTGATTTAGTAGGTTATGTAGATGCTGGGTATTTATCCGTTCCTCATAATGGTCGATCTCAAACTGGTTATGTTTTTACATGTTGGGGAACAGCTATTTCATGGTGGTGCATGAAACAGACTTTAGCTGCAACTTCGACTAATTATTCTGAACTTATGGCAATTCATGAAGCAAGTCGAGAGTGTGTTTGGTTGGGATCTATTGTTTCTTATATTCGAGGATCGTGTGGATTACATTTGGTTGGGATCTACCTGCAATTCTGAACTTTGTTTGAAGATAATACTACCTGCATTGACCAAATGAAGGAAGGGTACATCAAAGGTGATAGCACGAAGCATATTTCACCCAAATTTTTCTTTACCCTTGATCTTCAGAAGAATGGTGAAATCAATGTTCAACACATTCTTTCAAGTGACAATTTAGCTGACTTATTCACGAAATCAATACCAACATCGACTTTTGAAAGGTTAGTTCACAAGATTGGAACGCGGCAGTTGAAAGATGCCAAGTGATGTACTCAAAGGGGGAGTTTCTCCTCACGCAGTACTCTTTTGCCCTTGATCGTGGTTTTGTCCCAATGGGTTTTTCTGACAAGGTTTTAACGAGGTAGCGTCATATTTGGAAATGTACTCTTTTTCCTTTATTAGATTTTTATTCCACTAGGTTTTTTCTACTAAAAGTTTTAACGAGACATTATTCCAGGAAATGGACATCCAAGGGGGAGTGTTATAATTATCTGATAATGTGGATGTCAACAAGCTAGTAAAGTTGTATA